CATTCACACACAAGTTTACGTTAAAAACACACATGAGTTACAAAATGGATTATTATTTGAAAAGAATCTTATGCTACAGAACCCTTGAAGTTCAAGGTGTTTAGGTCATTTTATAATACTCTAGAGCACAATCAGTTCTCCATCACTGTATGTATCTTCAAGGATACAGAGGCTGGCAGGTAACTACATAGCTAAATGATTAGTCAGACATCAATGCATTATATATAATAAATGGAATCTTCAGTAACAAAACTGGGTTTGAGTAGATGTTATTTTTTTGGCAAAATAATTATTTGAAACTGAATCACAATAACCATTTAAAGACCCACAAAAAATATTAATTTAAATTTGTATTCATTTCCAGTGGATGTAGGTCTCAGGTTGGCTTTGTTGCTTTTTATTTTTTTTTATATTTTGCTAAAGTATTTGTAACTTTTCATTATTTGTAAATGTAATTTACACTCATTAAATAGATAGTTTATATTAATTGTTATATAGGGATTATACATGCTGTTTGCATGGCATCATATCAAGCATTTAAGAGATGTGTTTATGTGTGGCTCTTGTGTGCATACATAAATAGACTCGCTTGCATTTGTTGAAGGTTTTAGTAATAGCTGTACTGGTAAGAGATTAAACTGTGTACATCCAACTGTTCATATATCTTTTGTGCACATCAAGCAAATGTTGTATTCTGTGGGGATGATGAAGCTGCCTCAGCATGACTACTTTTATCCACAGCCTTGTTTAACTTGTGCCGGGCAGCACAGCTGGACTTCTCCTTACAAGTTACATGCACAAGGCAATTGAAGTTGGTGTGATTGGTGTGTGTGGTTGTAAAAAAATGATTCCAACTTTATAATGCATGAATTTTGCCCCAGAAAAAATAAAAAGACTGAAAATCACTGAACGGTCCTCGGTTCCATTTCAGGCTTATCTACTCAGACACTAAAATGATGATATTTCACACTGAGTATGTTTACATGGACAACAATAATCAGATTTTAACACGATTAAGACTCTGATTAAGAATCTACCATGTAAACAGAGATTTTTGATTAC